TGACATTCTCTAAGAAGTGCATCAACAGCTACCCAATTGATTAGGATGTAGCAAGGTCATGTGGAGATGAGTATAATTGGAAGTACTTCAAACATTGGAGTTCTGTATATTCACAACAGATTGGCAACAGGTCTTTATTCAAAGAGCTATGAGAACAATTTCAAAAATAAATGATTGGAATCATAATTCTTTTCCGCCATCCTCCCCAGAAGACACAATAATAAACTGAACTGTGGCTCTCCCTGACCATGATTGTTTTATTTCTCTCCGCATTGGATCTGTCTCATTTCTATTTGCAGTATTTCATTAAAAAGGAGCTGCCCTCATGAAATCTCTGCAATTTGCAAAGAAATCGAATGCAACTGCTCCTTGACTTCAAAGATATATGGCCGGGATTTGGTGTCATTAATAACTTAAAACGCACGCTGGCTGGCTTTCTCAAAACTGCATTTACTCCTGTCATAATGCGATGTTGTGATAATGAGAGTGTGAGTTCCAGAAGGAGAGAGCCAGGCACAGAGAGAGAAAAGGAAAATCCACCTATACCGATCTTTGAAGACAACCGGACAAATTGTGTACAATATGGCCCTTTAATGAAGCCCCGGCATGTTTTGCCCAACATTTACAGAAGCACAGGTTGTGGGCCTCAGCTACATTATTGAATACATTTTCTTCACTTTAGGCAGGATGTCAAGGCATTGGTGAGGGTTCAGAAGGGATTTACTGCAACCTTACCAGGGACTAGAGGGTTTCAATGATGTCGAGACACCAAAGAGGTAGGGATTGTTGCCCTTTGGATTTGGAAGGTTAAGGGGAAAATAAACAGGAATGTTCAAAAAGTAAGAACCATTTGGGTAGTGTGGATCGAGAAACAGTGCACTCACATAAAAGTTGGTAACGTGAACATGCAAGAAAATTGCCAAAACGATTGTTGGAAAATGAGGACAATTTTTAATGTGGTCAGCAGTTAAGAGATGGTGCACACAGTCTGAATGGTAGAGGGAGCTGTTAACGTCAGCCTTTCTGCTCCTATGATGCTGCTTGGCCTGCTGTGTTCATCCAGCTCTGCACCTTGTTGTCTCAGATTCTCCAGCATCTGCAGTTCCTACTATCGCTGTTTTAAATTGTTATTTTTAAAAGCGAATCGGACATCTACTTGAAAAGGAATTATTGCAGGGTTATCCATGTGGTGGGATTAACTGGATAGCTTTACCGAAGAGCTGGTGCAGATGAAATAAGCTGAATAGTTTTTTTTTGTCTGTAATGCCAATGATTTTGTTTGTCCCTGGAATCCAAATTGATCATGTCCAATGTACTGCGTTGTCCCGCCCACTCTCTTTGTTATAAATCTCAACACAACTTTCAAGGGGCATGTAATCAGACAAAATGCATGGAGGTGAGTACAAAAGCAGAGAATACACACGTCTCTTCAATTGTGGATGGACCAACATAAAAGAGCTATGAACTCTCCAGTCTCTTTGTCTCCAGGGTTCATACTGAACAAAACAAGAGATTAAAATTTAACTGGTGACAGGCAGGAGTGAATGGACATTAATAAATTTCCACTGTATCATGGTTTCAAGTTTCAGAAGTATTACGCCACAACATAAGACATTGGAATCACCATAAACATCACCTCCAGCAGGAACAAATTACTGCTGATGCTGGAATCTGAACTGAAAACAAAAAATACTGGAGTTCGCAATGGGTCAGGTTGCATCATGGATGCTGCCTGATCCATTGTGATCTCCAGCATTTTTGTTTTCACTAAGCATCACCCCTTCTTTGGAAAACAACTTTGCCCTTACAAACGTTGCATGGTGAAAGAGCCACGTTTTCTGTCTGACTTTTATAAATCAATGCAAGCTGTCTGCCTGTGGTTTAACCAGAAAGTAATTGACCAATATCCCAATTGACAAAAAAGCCATTGGAGAGAGGCTTCCAGGATTTCCACCTAATTTGCCATTTGAATCGAAATTACGAAGGACAAATAGTTCACAATGTAGTGGAGTGTAGTATGGCACTTCAAGCTAAGGGCCACAACCTGGTTGAATTAGGCAAAGGGATGGCAAATTTAAAACAGAAATGAGGAGAAATTGCTTCTCTCATAGGGTCACGAATCTGCGGCATTCACTTCCCCATGGATGTGGTGGCTGCCGGGAATAAACAGAATAAAATTATGAAGACAGATGGATTTTTAATGAGTAAAGGGTTGAAGGGTTATGGGGAATGGGCAGGAAAGTGGAGTTAAGGCTGAGACGAGATCAGCCATGATCTCTTTGAATGTTAGAACAGGCTCAAGGGGCTGAATGGCCTACTCATGCTCCTAAATCTTACGGTGTTCTGAATAGTGCAGCAGGTGAGAGAGTCCAAATTAGCCCCTCCTGTTTCTACCTCCTATGTTCCTAAGCAGCAATGCCACAGGACAGTGAGTATACCTGTTTCCATGCTTCTATAGTTCAAAATGTCACATTCCCAATATTTGTCAGGAAGCAAAAAGAGAGAAAAGATTTGAATTTATATAGCACCTTTCATAACTACAAGACTCGGCTCTGTGAAAAGCATGCGATGCAGATGGTTGGCCTCTTCGAAACCCCACTCCATGTACACCCAGCCCGCTTACATGAGAATACAAATCCCTCTTCAAATCCCCAGCCCGTGTACATG